GGAACAGAAACCTAAGGATAGCTCTTCTTGTTATTACTTTAATAAATGGCTTTTGACTATAAACTGTATTGATACTTCTTCTCTAGGGTAATTCCTATAGGCAAGGTTTATTTCCTTTTAGTAAAATAAAGTAAAGTTATTAGTATTGCATTACTTTTCATGAACTGCCTCAGAGAAGGATATAGTTTCTTGACAATATCTAACAGAAGCTATACTTCCCTCTTGAACACCACATATACCTGTAAAGAATTCCCTATCGTGTCATCATTATAGTGTGAAAATTAAGAAGGCTTTTACCTATAACACTATCCTTAACTATTATATATAGTTTACTTTTTTAATAAATTCTTTTATAGATAATATAAATACAACTGTCACTTCTAAAATAATGATGTTTTTTACTAAAAGATTACATTTTTGAAAGAAAATAATATAAGTAGACAGACAAGAAAGCCTATTTACATGAAGGATCAAATTAATAATGATCAGATCCAATATATAGGATAGACTATGATATCTTCTGCAACTGTAAAAACTAAGTATACAGTAAGCACCTATAGAAGGAAACTCTAATTTCTCAAATACTATTATATTACATCACTTTAAAAACATATCTTTAGAAAATATTTTTATATCTAACTTAAAAAAACCTTATATATTTAACATCTTTATAAGCATCTCTATAAACTTAAATATTACTAAAAATAATTATGAATTATTAATAGAAAATAATGATACTATTGATTTACCAACATCAAATACTATTCAAAAAAAAACTCACACTTCAACTTTTGATCTGCTCAAAATATATAGTTTTCTAATATGCTATAACAAATTTCTTTCTTATTACAACCTACAACTCTTGCCAGCACTACAATCAATAGGTTTTTTTCTAAAATTTATTTAAAATAAATATTCAACATATTACTTAGAACAATTTATTAAAATTTCTATTAAAACAATTAATAACATACAAGAAGAAGCACATATTCACCTCTTACAAAAATCTAATCTTCTACCTAATTTTTTTTATATTCTTTTTAAAAATCTTTTAAAATTCCAAAACATCTTATTTAAAATAAATTATTTATTACTAAATTCAAAATATCTTTTCTTTCTAATTGCCTTAAATCTTTTTCAACTACTCAACTCATTACTTCTAAACTATCTATTTCAATTACAAATACAAATAATAATATCTTACCTTTAGAAAATCCAATTGTGAAATTAATTAAAATACATTTACTAAATATCAATAGTCTTCTTGACAATTCCAAACAACTAAGATGAATTAATTTTATCTTAAAAACCAAATAGACATTTTTGGGATTTTAAAAATACACCTATTTATCAAAAAGGCAAAATACTCTATACTCTTTCAAAAATTAACAAACTACAAAAGTTTTTAGACATCTAGTAATGCTTATCAAGCTAATGTAGGAATATTAATTCATAAATCACTTACTAAACATATTAGGAAAATCCAAACTTTCAAAAACTTTTTTTTAGAAATTAACATCTTTTTCAAAAATCTTTATATTAAACTAATTCAACTTTATTTTTTAATCTAAGAAAAAAAACAACTCTGTAAAGATATTATTACATATTTTTCTTCTATACTAAACAAAAATAACTACAAAACAATATTAATGAGAGACCTAAATAAAGTACCAAACCCTAAACTTAATAACTTCTATTAAAAAGCTCTAATATATCTAAAAATTCTCTTCTAAAACTTCTTAAATCTCTTTAACTATATGATATCTACAGACTCTTTTATTCTTCAAACTTATCATTTTCCTATTTATACAATAACAGCCAAAGTAGAATTGATCAAATATGAATTAATGTTCATATTACACTCTTAGATAATACTAATATTTTACTCAATTCATTTACCTTAACTGATCATTCAATAGTTTTACTTGAACTTCTTATTAATCTTCCAAAAATTAATACACAATCTTTAACCAAGAATTATATACTAATAGAAATTAACTACAAAGGAATAAATCAAAAACTACCAAAACCATACTGAACAAAATCTTCAAAAACACTTTATTTCTATTAAGAACATTACTTATAAATTAGAACTTAATGATATCTGAAATCAAATCAACAAAACTCTTACCAAAGCAGCCCAAAAATATATTCTATTTAAAAAAATTAAAATAAATCCAATTCACAATGAACAACAATTACCTACATTTACACCATTATACAAACAACTTAAACAAGCTATTTTACTTAAAACAAATCAAAATAAACCTAACTTTCTATAAATCTACAACTTATATATTAATAAATATCCCAATAATACCACACTACCACCTTTTTGCTCAATACTAACTAACATTAATCTTAATCCTATTAACTCCTTAAATTTTTATACTACTGAAATAAAAACCCTTAAAACTCATATTACTAAAGAAAAACAAGAAAATACTCTTAAAGAAATCCAAAACAAATTAGAAGAAATAACAACTTCTTTCAAAATCCTAAAATCTTTCATAATCAATATGCTAAATATACACTAGCTTTATCTTATATAAGGTACATTCTAATATAAAATTTGGATTAAGATTTTAGATTTAAGATTTGAAATAAGATTTGAAGCATAGAATAGAATTTGGAACATAGAATAGAATTTGGAACATGAAGTAGAATTTGGGATTATGACAACCCAAATAGGGTTTATCTGGTTTGGGATTTGAGATTTTTCCACATAGAATTTGGTAGGATTTTAAAGATTTGTTGAGCAATATGTATAAACATACCTGATTTTTAGCATAAGTAGATGGTGATTTCAAAAGTGGGTATTTTATGATTTCGACGGTGAATAGATTCATGATTTCAACGGTGAATAGATTCATGATTTCAATAATGAGATTTTCATTTAAAAGTGTAGTGAGTTCACTGTTTCAATTGTATGTGGGAAAATTTGGTGAATTCATAATTGCATATTATTTAGCATCTATACATATTTTAATATATCTCATGAATACTATACTACGTATTCTACTAATAGACATATATACTGTCGAAGAAGCAATGCTAAAGCAGAATGCTTATACTCTCAGAAACAATATAGGAGTTTTTCTTTGAAAATCAAGTTATGAGACATAATTTACTATGTTTCATAACTTGATTTTCAAGGCAAAGGCCTCATATATAAATCTAAAAATAATTGTAAAATCAACAAATATCGTAAACAATTTGACATTGAAGTAAACGGAACATGTATAATAACAAGTATTAGATGAATAGTGCAATTAGATAGAGTATTACTATTCTTTATTTCAATCATATCGATATATAAATTTAGTTCAGCTATTTTAGTCTTATCTCAAACTCAAATATCAGTTTGACACAACTCAATAATTTTAAATTTATTTGCATTTGTTGAATATTAATTCCGTATAAATTATAATAAGTTATAATAAAAAGTACATACAATTTGTAAGCAGTATATTTTGAATATATATATGTGTAAATTTTTGATATTTTACAATACTGTACAATAGTATTGAATATTATAATACTTTGAGTGTCTATAAAAACAATAAACGCCATGAAAAATGTAAACTATTATCGCAAAAAAAAAAAAGTAAATAAATAAACAATTTTAATGATAAAAATATATCTACAATACTATATATGTAAACTACTATACAGTATACGTATATATATTATATCGTAGTCCGTACATAGAATAAATTATACGCAGCACGAGTCTTTAAGATGTAAAAAAAAAATTAAGATATTTACGCGTGATAAAAACACAAGATAAAATATATTTTACGATATACATACCACAATATCTTGTTCATCACATATAGATGCACGACTATCATCAAAATTATGCCATTCGTTCCTATAACCATTTCGTACACATGCTGTATAATGACCACCATTTAATCCACCGTAATGATTTGAAACAGCATATAAATCATATATAAAAGGACCCATTTGCCGTAAATCAGAAGACATAGATTGAGACTGTACATATGGAGTTAAATCTAAACGTCTAACAGGAAAATGAATCATTGTGTCAAGTTTATCTCTAAAAGGTCCATAAAATGAAAATCTTTTAAGATGAATCAACAAGATATCAGGTAATCGAGAGATGGAGAGTTGTTTTGTTGTACGTCTAGGACATTTACATCTAGGGCAATTCCAGGCATCATTTCCATCTAATATTTCCTCTTTTATAAAACCTTTAAGACACATTTCTAAATCTACATGCACATTATTTTTAATATTGGTAGGTATAGGTAAAGAAAGGTACATAAATACGTCATAGGACGTAGAAGTTTTTCCACAAGTCATACACATCAATCGATTGCAAAATTGGCCCTGGAATAAGCTGACAACAATAGAAGAATTACGCATCAAATGTTTTTCCCAAGCTAATTCAGAAGCTATACTTGGAGATAACTTTTCAAATTCATCAGCATCTAGAGGAGCTAAATCATTATTTACAGAATTGTAATTTATATTTAAATCTTCATGTAAACCATCCAATAAGTAAGCTAAAAATTCCTGAGAATCCTGTTGTTCAGATCCAGAGAATTGAGGAGCAAAACATCCAATAGCTTCTTTAAGAGATACAGGAGAGATAGAAACATATTGATCACTCCACATTACTCTTATCAAAGTAGCAAATTTATCAGCCAGGACACCTTTAGTACCTAAAGGGTTGTCTCTATTTATATGTCTTTTAAAACTACCATCCAAAAAGTACCTTGCAAATGGTAAAGTACCGCTTAAACATTGAATAATGGAATTCATAAAGCAAGTATTGCCTAGATTTCTTAAACCGGTGGTACCAATGCCGGAACCTAATTGAGAAAAGCTACTCTCAGAAGCGTGAGAAAATTTAGGACGTTTATCATTCATTGGAACAAGATTGTTAGTGGGAGTAACAGATGAAATGGTTTGTTGTTCATATGGGATCTGCGGTAATGGTTTTTTTGGAGGAGGAGGACGTTTTAATGAATTATAATCCGGATTTTTTACTTCGCTAAAGCCGTGGTACGGATGATCAAAAATGGTTTTACGACGCCGCAAACCACTACCAGACTTAGTAACTGACGAATCATCTGAATTAACAGAAGAATTAGGAATTGGTCTTGGAAGCGGCTTATTTGGAGCAGCTATTTTAGGTTTCGATTTATTATCCGTCAAATCATTAGAGAATATACTGTCTAACGGATTTTCCGAACGATAAGTTAGAGGCGTAAACTGCGTTGATGAGTCACTAGGTTGTTGATACTGAGAAGTAACATTTTTACCAAAAAAGATTACAGTAATTACTATATAATCCAACAAAGAATTTCATTTTTAAATCATGATAATTACTTACAAAATCCAAAGTATTTAGTATAATAGATGCACGATTATGGCCAAAAGTAATAATTTTTCCAGCTCTTTTAAAAGGATCACGATTTCGAGGAGAGATTATCAGTCTTAAAAATTAAAAATATAAGAAAATTTGCATTCAATACTCTGTTGGTACTTTATTGTATGTATTAAATCATTCATATTATACCGATGCATATATTTTTTTTCCGTATAATTTCATGCTGTAATCTTATACAGAATATAAATAAATGATCTATACACCTGTCGAAATTTGTCATGGAAGTTTCTTTAACATATTGGTTTGCACCATTTTGCGTCGAATCATAAGGCGTATCATGCGTATCATGAGTAGTGAAGTTAGCCATTCCAGCCTTATCGTATATAGCAATTGGATCTGTTTGAAAGTTAGGAATATTACGCACAATTCCAGTTTCACCTATCAACTGTTCCCACGCAATAAATCCTCCGACCAATAATACAGGATATCTTTTTAATGGCTTCTCAAATTCTTTTTCAAAAATTGCTTGAATTAAGTTAACGGCACAGTTTTTAGGATTTAATTCAGAACCGTAGCCATGATATACTACTAGATCAAAAGTATTTCGCTCAGCAAAAAGGTTCTGTTCATGTTTAGGGCAAGTTTTTTTTAAGTTTGTTTCAAGGGTTACCGAAGATATCCTAATTGGATGTAAAAAAAAAAAAAGTTTAATTTAGGGGATGGATATTTTCACTCCCTTTTTAGATAAATACCACACCTCCCGTAAATCATTGAAGTCATGGTAAAGATTTTTCAAGCTTTGATCGAAGATATCTTGGCATTCATTGACCAACTTTTATTGAAATCAGCCAAGTAAGTGCCAAGATATTTCCAAGAAATTTTTTCAATAATTTACATTACAAGATCAAAAAAGGGGTGTGAAAATATCCATTCCCTTGATTTATTGAAAAAAAAACGAAATGAAACGTTGATAATAAAACTTTTTAAATATTTTCAACTTACCCATCCTCTAAAAGGAATGGTTCCAAACATACAACATTTTTTGTTTTTATATGTCCCTTTTCGAATTCATTTCTAAATCTAATATCCAGTACCAATATATTAGGAGGACTTTTGATCTCATTTAATAGATCGTTCAACAAACTGGCCTCTATTCTATCAGTAATAGGTAACTTTTCTAACGGAGATGAATTTCTTTGTGGAATCGTAATTGGATCAGGGTTATCAGGAACAATTAACGCATTAGACGATGAAGTCTGATGCGTTGAAGGAAGGTTAGATGTTAACAATGTTGATTCTTCTAAATTCTGTGTAGTAGATGCTTGCGATGAAATGATTGGTTTGGGAACAGTAATGTTACTTTTGGGAGTCTTGCTGTTTCCATTATTTAGCAGAAGTTTTATTCTTTCAGCGATAGACAAAAAAACAGGAGTAGTATCAGAATTATCTGGATCAGACATAATAATTATAGACTGTTTTTGATTGAAAGCAGTCAAAAGATGTTATTATAAGTAATTTTTATATTTATCCCATAAAACTAAATCGGCAATGTAGTACAAATTGCCAAGTAACGAATGAATAATTGGCGCAATTAATAAATCCAGTAAATGCCGATCCGGAAGGGCTCTAGTTTGTATGTATCTCCCCAGCCAAAATTTGCTTTATCCATTTTAAAGTAAATTATATTACAAATAGCTAAATAAAGTGATAATGCATGATTATAAAACTTTGTGTGATGACATCCTTTCCCGAAACATAAAAGAATGATACCATAATAGTAAAAAACTGTCTTATAAGTACATACATAACGATAATTAAAAAACGTTTTATAAGACAAAAAAAATGTCATTCATAATCTCAATGTTCCCTTAATTAATAGTGTATATAGAAACAATGAACGTTGCACAAAACTTAAACGATACGTTGTTTTGTTTTAAAAAATACAAAAAATCTATCATTTTTGTATAATAATACACAGCACGTTTCATTATTGTTTACGGAAATTAGTGCTCTATTATGCAATTGAGTCTAAAAGTACAGACTTATACCTTAGTTGACATTACTGTTAAAACTATTTAATATGAAGTACGTACTTAATAATTGCTATCACTTTGTCTAAAAATATAGTTCTTCTCTACAGTCACCTCCTATATAATTACACCCACTTTATAAGCATCATTTTTTGTATAATATTTACTTATTATGTAGTAATGATTCTTAACTATGATCTAAATGACTGGTCATTATTTGATAACTGAACTTTGATCAATGATCAGTTCATTTCTATCCCTGATATTAGGGATGTTAAACGATTTAAGCGATGTGTCTGGTTCCGATCTCTAAAAAGTCTGGACCAGGACTAGTTAAAAACGAGTTCATCCCCGTCAAAAACAAGTCCTACTCTAGCGGTTTTATATAATTTTGAAAAAAAACCAATAAAGCATTTACTAATTTGATTTGGCCTATTCATTGATGTACTATTATGGCTATTTAAAAGGTTTTATGTTTCACCCCATAATACTCTATTCATATCATATGAGACCAGGACTGGTCCTGGACCAGTTCTTAACTGGTCTGGTCCATATTCTGTCAGAACCATTCCTGTTTCGCGTCATTTCGAAAGTTAGCATTGTTTCACTCTGTCGTATAATAATTACGTATCATGATTTATCGTACGTGTCGTAAGATGACAAAGCGGTTCCAATCAACTCACAGACAATCGCTTAATAGACACCACATTTCACCGACAATTATTCACCAACAAGTTCATTTCACCGAAGCTCATTTCACAGACATTGTTGTTAGGGTCAGGTTAGAATTAGAGTTAAAGTTAGTGCAATTTATAAAAAAAAACTTGTCGGTGAAATAACCTGTCGGTAAAAATGAACTTGTCGGTGAATAATTGTCAGTAAGATGTGGTGTCTATGAAGTGATTGTCGGTGAAATAATGTCACGGCTGATTATGAAATCGGATTATTGTGAAATTTGGACTATTTCATGTACGATTTTTAAATTTTTTTGGGTCTTTTTTTTAGCCTTTTTTTTTTTTATAGTTGAGTTAGGATTTATGGTTAAAGTTTCTAATAAAAGAGTATAGGTGGATTTTGGTAGGGCCTATATTTTTAAATTGAGACCCTAAATTTCACAATAACCCGATTTCATAATCAGTCGCGACATATATTATTGTATTATTAATGTTAAGTTTATTGATTGTTGATCACCTGATCGCGAATTTTTCTGCCAACCTCGTACCAGGGACGATGATTTGCTGTGTTTCACAGAACACCGCAGAATTTTTCTCAAACACAGCTAACCACAGAAATTAGTCTTTATCACAGCAGAATATCACAGAATTTGAATTTATAAGCTATTTTTCACAGAATCGTGATTTTTTATATTAATGGCAATAAAATACAGGTTTAGAAAATAAAAATTTTCCAAGATACTGGTGTAAATATACATGTACATATGTTCAATTGGATTAAAATTAGAAAAAAAAAATTTTTTCCAAGGTATTGGTATGCATGTATAAATATATAATCAGAAAAAAAAATTTTTTTTCCAAGGTATTGGTATAAATGTGTTTTATACAAAACAAGGATTTTATCAAAATTTCTTTAATAAACTGTTAGTGTGTGTATTTTTTTATAATGGTAACATGAAATAAAAAAGTCTCTATTGATACCTGTATAAAAGAATATCCTAATGTTTTTAAAGAAGATAGAGGAGTTATGTTTTGCAATTATTGTGATTTGTCTGTTGAGTAGAAAGTTAAATCTACTATCAATGGATATTGTAATTCCAAAGAGCATATAAAAAACAAGCAAAAATATGAAAATAATGAAAAATCTAAAAAACAAGTTATACTTACTGTTACAATGACATCTGAATCAAAAAAAGAAGTAATTGAAGAGTTAATTAAAGTTTTTTTATTGGTAAATATTTCTCTTGAAAAAATAAATAGTTTACTTTCTTTTTTTAAAAAATATTTAAAAAAAGGTGATGCAATTTCTCAAGCTTTTATACTTCATCAAATTTATTTATTAAATGCTTTTAATACTCATATTTCTTTTCTTTAAGATCTTTTTAACCAAAAGTCTATAACTTTAATCATTGATGAAATTACAGATGATTGTTCATGTAGTGTTGTAAACACTCTTTTTAATTTTTGTCAAGATACCAAATTAATTTCAGTTGATTTTTTAGATATAATTAATAATTCAACAATTGATGATATTTTATTAACCCAATTAGTTAAATATAATATTTCTTATACTTTACCAAAATTATTTGTTACTGATTTCATAACTTATATGAAAAAGTATTATAAAGAAATATTAAAACCCATTATGCTATAATTAATTCATACATCTTGTTGTGTATATATCCTTAATCTTATTGGATATGTATATAAATTAAATTATTTTAAACTTAATTTAATAATAAATAATAATTGTATATTATGTACATATTAGTGATACTTGGCAAACATATCTGAATTTGATATTTTAAAAAATTTTTTAGTAAAACTTAAAGAAACATTTATCAATTTATCTATATGTAAAGGTTATTATTTAAACTATTTTTATTTACATGGCATTGAAAATCTGTATAAGATTCTATTGCCAAATAAAACATGTTGGAATTCATAGTTTAGAATAGTATTTTATGTTAAGGATTATATTGATTATTGACCTTATTTTTCTCTGAAGAACATGAAAAGGATACAAGTCACAAATCAATTATTAAAATTAATGAAATTTTACATAATTGATAAAAAAAAAACATAGTTATAATTTATATTCATTTTATAACATACTATGCACAGAAATTTGTTTATGATTTAGATTTTTTTTAATAACAAAATAAACCAATATTTCTATATATTGAAGGATGACTTGAACAACTTTTATCATTTATTAAAGAAAATATTATAGTTTCAAATTTTGGACTAGATATAAATGATCTTATAACACAGTTTCAATTTAATATAGAAAGCTTTTGTAATATTTTCTGATCAGCATTTGTTGTTGTATATAATAAATATGCAACACATATTCCTCAATATCCTGCTTGTTCTTTATTTTGAGCTTGTCATGTTTTTAACTCTTTCTATATTAAAATAGAAAATCAAATAAATGATATTTCTCATAGAGATCTTCACTGATATTCAGTAATTACCAAGCTTAATAATCCATTACATGAGCTTTTACAAGAATGGATGATTTATTGTGGATCAGTAAATGAAGTTCTTGAAGAAGAAATCGATCTTCATAATTATTGAGTGGGAATGCAAACTATTTTACCAGTTTTATCAAATATTGCACTAAATTACATATGGCTTCTGGTTTCTAACTGCAGTATAGAACACAGCTTTTCTATATATAATAATCTTTTAAATAGTGACTGTCAAAATCTTTAACTTGATTCTTTAAAGCAACTAAGCATGTTATATTTTAACGGAAATTAATTTTTGAAAGATTTTAAATAAATAAAATATATTTACTCAGTTTTTTTTTAGCACATAATATCACAGAATCGGTACTAAACTAACACAGAATTATGCAGAAATCGATATTTTTATTACAGAATTACACAAAATGCACTAACAAAACAGCACATTGCATCACAGAATTTTATTTAACCACACACAGAATTTGGTCTTAGCCACTGCAAAAAATCATTATCCCTGCTTCATATGGCTTTTTTCAAAAAATCACATGGTTTTCATAAGCATGACGGTGATCTGAATTTTAAACACGAAAAACAACTAATATATGCCCAGATAAGAATTTTATTTTTTATGTATTACTACCTTCTTGAAAGAGTCCACCAGGGCGATCACAAAAAGTATGGGTCATATGATGATTGACAAAATAATCTAATATTCAGTAAAATTAGAATTAACGTCGAAGTTAATGTTGAAGCTAGGGTTAGAGCAAGGTTCTTAAAGTAAAATTGCTCAAGGAATTTTTTTTATTAGAGCATAAAGACTGGTTTCTTATGCAAGTTCGTGAGATAAAGGAGATTTTTGACAAGTGAACGTTTGTTTTGAATTTTCCTAATTGTGTTACGTTACAATAAATTATTATTTATCATTGGTTAATTTGTTGTAGATCATCACATGACCCGTACTTTTCGTGGGCAATTTTCGAATCTGTGCCCAGTTTGTTGAATGTCTACTTCAACATGATCTACCTGACCAATCATATTTGAGTATTCATAAATTATCATGATAAAAAATTCATACATACGTATGAATGTAAATTGCTCTAACAACCAACATAGTTTATTGTACGGTGACTAAGCATTATCTTTCTATAAAGACTTATACTTCGAATTACAAAAAATATATCGAATCAACTTTTTAAAAAAGTATATTAACATACAAAAACGGTTTTACTTATATCCTTTATATCAATGTATTTATTAAATATATATATAAACTAATCATATAATA